CCGCTTTTTTCTCCTCCGCTGGCACGCTGCTGTCTTTGCTGCCCTCCTCCAGCTGGGCACGGTCAGCGGCGGCTGCTTCTGTGGCAGTGGGAGCCTCACTCTCTTTGTTCTCGGCCGCTCCACCAGCAGGGCCTTCCTCCTTCTTGTCGGCGGCATCAGTCTCAGATGCCGGGGCATCTCCCTTCTTCTCCCCCTTGAGCTTTTTCCTTGTTATGTGTCCGCGGAAGCTGGCCTGGATTTTGGTGGCTGCCTTATGAGCTTTATCTTCTGGTTTGATGCCATCTTGCTCGATCTTTTGGTCCCCGTCCTCATTCTTTTCAACCTTTGAAGAAGAACAAGGGAGAAGGGCAGAGGAGAAAACAGGGACATAAGTTAAGATTTCTCCAGGTGCAGCCCAGGCTCTGGTTTTATTGGGAATGTCCCACCTTCCTCTCCTGCTAACCAGTGACAAGTTTCAAAGCAGCCTTTCCATTTGGTATAAGTTTGAAGCCAGGTGGCTCTAATTTCATCCTACGGCTGGACAGACACAGGGGGTTCGTAAAAGGAATTTAAAGCACCTCATCATTTCCATCAGCAATGCTGAGAGCACCTTGGCTGTGTGGAAAGGCTTGCACCAGCTGGGTTGTCTCTATTCTCATGATTTATTTTCCCATCCATTTTGAAATATACCAATTTTTTCCTCTCCTCATTTTCAAAACACTCTCCTGAGGGGGATTTTCACAGTCCTTCCAAATCCACCTTTGCCTTCAAGTCTTTGTTTCTTTTTAATGACACCTTGTTTCACAGGTGTGTGACTCTAATGACACCAAGTGTTTTGTCCTTTATAGCTTTTTGGCTCGGGACTGCCAACAGAGAATAGTATTGCTGCCCGGCCCACCACAGATGCATGCTGTCAGACATACAGAGATATTCACAGGATATACTCCTCACAAATGCCCTGCCTGCAAGCACTCCAAGCACTTTGCCTCTGCTCCCCACTCATGGTTTCAATGAAGGAATAATAGGCAGATAGATATCAGTCTTTTAAATTTCAGCAGGTTATTATTATTTCTCTGTCTACTGGGGGGAAGTCAGACTTGCAACAAAGAACAGGCATTCCCCATGTTTTTAGGCTTAAGCCACGCATTAGAGTCTTAAATGGGACCAAAACAGAGCCTGTGCCTCGTGCTGGTCTGCTGCAGACAGATAATGCTCAGCTTGTAAACCCCCACTGAATTTACAGGACATACCATGCTTCACCCCAATAATTTAGCAGCCCTTGGGCAAGTAACAGCTCAGCTGCATATTGATGAAAGGATACTGTTCTGCTAATATTCCCATTGGGAAGCATTCAAAAGAGCTACTCGGAAGCAGAGCCACTGGCCTCTTTGCTGTCTGCACCTGGTTTCCAACACTGGCTCAGGTCACAAAAGAAAGAAAACGAGCTGGCTGAGAAAGACAGCAAGTGTTTATTCCTGGGCGGGAAGAGGAAAGCACTCCTTAGGCCATTGCAACTGAGAGGTGCCATCTGGGGAAAGGGCCAGGACCAGAAGAGCAGAGAGAGGGGACAGTCTATAAATACATTCAAAGAGTGCAGCTGGAATAAGGAAGAAGAAGCCACTGCAGCATGCACGTGTGGCACTGGAAACACCATACCTGTGAAGAGGGGGAAAGAGGACTGGCCACACTGGCAGCGATCACTGGGAAACAGACTGGAAGTGATCATTTCCACAGTGTGAGACAGGGTCAGGCACACATGTGTGAGCGAAGCTGGGCCAGTGAACCAAATGCTTGGCCACTGGCATGCCAGAGGTGGTACGCACTGTCTCCCACTGGGTCCCCAGTGAGCACAGGATCCCCCACCCTAGCACTGGTGCCCACCTGGGATCGTTCCCCAGGTAAACAGGGGTGAGCTTGAGTGGTTATGGTGAGCTTGAGTGGGTATGGTGGCCAAGGAAGGAGCGGCCCCAAATCATCAAGGAAAAGAGCCGCTCCACACAGCTGTGCAGGGGTGAGGATGGGTCTGTATACAGCAGGAAATAAGTCTGGGAGTGAGACTAGGCACCAGGATGCTTATGTAGGGGGTGAGTGAAAAAGCCTGTGAATGAATATGCAACTGATATTAGCACACAGAATTCAGCACAAGGCGTTTTTGTGCTCCTGATCATGGCCAGGGACAACACGGTTGTTGTACCTATCACAGGAGCACAGCTGAGCAGTTACATCTACACTTCCCCAAGTGCATTGAGTGACGTGGTACGGAAAGCGGGTTCTCATGTTCGTCTCAGCTTGTCAGAGGGCAGGTGATGGTTATGTGTAAAGACGATGCAGATGTTAGCATGCTGTAACCATTCCTGTATGTCTTTTGCTTGCACAGCTAACTCTGCACTGTATTATTTAGCATCTGGGGTAAGCTTTTCAGCCTATTTCAGAACAAGGGCATGGAAACAAATGAAAAGTACCTTTAAACTAGCATGTTCATAGAACAGCTGTGATCCAGCCAGGGTAGTGCAGAGCTCTGTACAGGGTCATCCATCCTGCTCCTTAGGCAAGTTTTAAAGCTTGCAGTAAGTCCTGTGTTGCTGTGGCAACATAACTACTGATACATGGACTAGCTGGTTTAAGGAGAGCTTGAGTATGCCTGCATTACACTGTAGCCACAGCAATGTAAAGATAGGCTAGGTACTCCTTTATAGCACTGTATAACACTTAGATGC